AAAAAAAAAGAAAAAGAAAACAAAAAAAAATTAAGTTTTGTAATTAACCACCTATCTCAGATTTCAAACGGATAACTACTGCAAAAAGCCTATTTAAATCAAAAGATCAAATAAGGAAAAAAACTCATGTTAGCTCAAAGCTAATCAAAAGTATGTATTTATTTGCTGCGCAAGATATTCGTATTAAACCAGGACAACGAGAAGTAAAGCATAACTATAAGAACTTTGTAGTAAAGTTTTTGACGCGGTTAAGTTGTCGCATTTTAATAAAAAGAAAGATTTGTTAAAGAGGTTTTTTTCATATTTTATGCAACTTTAAGCACAAGTTTCTTTCTGTTGTGGTGTCTACGACCAGGCAAAGTTTTCCTAATGCAAAGCGAAGCAGAAACATAAGCAATTTTTCTTTTTATTTGAAATACTAAGAGGAGCCTTATACTTTACACGTTCTTTGAATCGTTTTTCTTTTCCTGGAGAATTATAATAGGAAAGTGCAAAGTTATGCTTTACTGTCGTTTTTATTATCCAAAGGCCCACCCGTAACAGTATATGCGACTATGCGCCAAGAAGCAAGACACTGCTTGATTTATATAGCAAATAAGAAACTGCGAGCGCCGCACGACGAATTCAGATTTTCTGGCTACTGTTTTTGAAAAAAAAAAATAAAATAAAATTTGCGAAAACGCATAAATTTCGCCGGACCCAAAATATTTTTTTCCCCGTCCTTCATCTCTCCTCATAATCTCCTCTAATGAGGGCCCACAAAAGAAAAAGGAAAATCGATCTATTTTCGAACAAAGTGCAAAAAACAAGTGTCGTATGTGAAAAATAAAATAACGAAACAAAGTTAGCACATAAAACGAACAAGAATTAGTGTGATTAAAGAGAAACACTTTTTGATAAATATCAGCAGTAACAGTACTTGCTCTTACAAATTTAAAAAAGGAAAAAAGGTGTCATATGCCTACATAAGAATCAAGACTGTATTCACAAAATTCCCAACCGATTATTCCTGCAACAGAGACTGCTACTACGACCGTAAAATCATCTTCAACAACCGAGACAAATACCCGTAAAAGTTTCTTCTACGCAGTTTCCAAACACTCAGCTGTTTAGCACTAAAAAAAGTGAAACGCATAGTTGATGAGAACATTTTTGCAGAAGAATCCCAT